ACACACACACACACACCAGCCAGGGGCCCAGATGTGGGAACAGACTGTGCCCAGTTCCCAGGGTGGAAAACCTAATGAATTTTCCCTTCCCACTCCTCCTCTGTGTGTCCTCCCCACAGTGCTCGCCAAACTATGGGAACTGGTTGGGGCTTCGGTCCTGGCCAAACCAGAGGGAAAATGTCTCATAATGGGAAAAACAAGACAGCAGCCCCAGGCGTTTCCAGGTCTCTGCTGGCCCTCCAGAGCTGGCCTGGCTGAGCTGCAGCCCAGAGCCTGGGCCTGAGGGCTAGAGCTGAGTTCAGGGAGGAGCCGGCCCTCGGCATGGCCCCAACTCAGGAGCTCCCTGGTCCTGGGTGACAAACAGATTTAAGGGACACCAGGACACTTTTTGTCCCCACTTACACCTGGACCAGTGCTGGGCTCAAAGGCGAATGGCGGGGACACCGTGAGGGCTGGTTTCAGTTCGGAACTTTGCAAGCATCAACTTCAGCAGCTCCCAGTTAGAGCTGACTACAGAAAGGGCGGGGGAGACAGTGGGGGTGGGGTGGGGGCGGAACTTAGTTTAGGATTGGGGACGTGCATTCTAAGGACAGAGTTGTTGCTAACCCCAAGCAAATCCCTGTGGACTGGGGCTCGGTTTCCCTGTTAGGTGAGGTGTGGGTCAAGACCAGTGCATTTCAAACTTTTTTGACTGTGACCCACAACAAACACACTTTACATCCGAACCCAGAACACGTGACCACGTGTAACCGAACAGAACCACAACATGCACGCTTACTGCCCACAGCGTGCCCTATGCCGTCTGTTCCATTCCACTTAAAAAATGTTATGGTGACTGAATGACCACTAACTGCAAAATCCATCTACAGTCCCTGGCTCTGACCCTGCATTTCTAAGCAGTCTATGGCCCATACCTGAGGTCACTATTAGGACCCAAGTATTTCTCAAAACAGAAGAATTTGAGGGCAAGAGTTTGAAAAGCAAACCCTCACCCTGTTAGGGATGGCCCAGCAGAGGCCAGTGCCCATGAGGAAGAGCTGAGAGAAAGGGGGTCTCCCCCAGTAGATGTGTCCTCCCCATCAGGGGCCTGCCCTGGGCTCCCTGCTCCCTCCCCCAATTGGGCCCGTGCTCATTACCTTTTCAAGTGTTCCAGCAAGAAGAGGAAGGTGATGAGGTTGGGGTCGGGCAGGGTGCGGAGCAGGTGCATCATGCAGTTTTCCTTGGCAGCAGGGTCTGACAGGGCTGGGGGGAAAGCAGGGCGAGGCTGGAGCTCAGCTCCCAGGCGGGCAGGCCCGAGCCAGCACCCCCATGGTCAGGAGGCTATGCGACCCTGAGGGAGAGCCTGGGCTGCTGTGCTCCCCTGAGGGGAGCAGACCCTGTAGGAAAGGAAGGGCCTGGTATCTTCCCAAGGGTGGGCTATTAACAGCTAGTTCCTACAGAAGCCCCCACCCATGACCTGTAACTCAGTCAGGAGGTAGGCTGGTGGGGAGCAGGCACCCTTCCTCCCCTTACCACATGGGCCTCTACGGCTCTTGCCATTCCCCATGCCTGGTCTAGAAGGCTAAGTTTAAAGAATGATGATACTGGCACGAATGTTTCCTCTCTTTCAACTGCCTCTGATGCTAGAGCACGGCAGTGAACAGCCTTCCCTTCTGTGGGGCTCTTCACTTCCTGCCATGGCTGAAGCCCTGATCTGCTCCTGAAGGATGCAGGAGGGAGGAGGCAGGAGGGAAGAGGGAGGAGGGAGGAGGGAAGTGGTAGGAGAGAGGAGGGAGGAATCAGGAGGCAGGAGGGAAAAGTGAGGGAGAAGGCAAGAGGGATGCTCCCAGGCCTGGATTCGCCTGGGTGGGTGGAGGCTGGAGCCCTGCTGGCCGAGGCCCTCAGCCTCCACCCACCCATGGCATCAGTGAGAGCGAGGGAGTGCTCCTCTGGAAGCCTGGGTTCCAGCCATCTCAAGTGCACTCCAGCCAGGCTTGTCCTTGGCTCTGGGATGCTGGCCCTGACCACCCACCTCAGGGCACATTTCCCCGGATGCCTGGCTTTCCAGCAAGGAGGTCAGTATTCAAGGAGGAAGCACAGAGGGCAGCCCACAGGGGCAAGAGGGGAGAGGGACAAGTGAGCGAGGGTCCACCTCTGGATCAGGCCCCAGCAGGTCACACCTCACCCTTTGGGCCACTCGGTCACGCAGCCCCAGAGCACTGGGCAGACCAACAAGCAAGGGAAGCCACGGATCTCTTGGTCCTCACTTTGCGGTCAGGGAAGTCTGGCTCAGCCCAGCCCTCGGGTCCCCCAGAACCTCACCGATGCCCTCCATGAAGGCTGGGTAAAGTCGGTCTGTGAGGAGGGGCTCAGGCAGCTCCCGGAAGTAGAGCTTGAGGGTGCCGGCGATGGCATTGATGTCCATGTCGCTCAGCATCAGTAGGATGTCCTTGTTATCTGCAGAGGAAGTGCGCAGTCAGGTCTGTGGTGGCCTGAGCCCCTCTCTTCCACATAGTCCTCAGCCAGGCGGGTGGGCCTGTTCTGTCCCACACAACATGGCCAGGGGAGCCCCCCACCCACTCTGTGTCTGCTCTGGTCTCCCCAGGAAGGGCAGGAATGTAGGTAGTGCCCACAGGTGGTCTGTGACTCAGCCCCGGGGTGGGGGTAGGAGAGAAGCACAGTTCACCATCCAGAGTTTTGGAGCCACATTCACACCACATGTCAGACACCCTCTTTGGAATCTCCCCACTGCTAAGCCTCTCTCTGGAAGGCACTGCACATTTTTTACACCTAAAATCATGTTCTGACGAAGCTTCAGCTTCCAGGTTGCACAGAGGAGCCATGCCAGCACATCCCCAGCCCCTCACCCCAGGCTTCCTGAACACAGGCCCCACCTCAGCTCTCATGGAATCAGCACTGCCCGGCCAGTTCAGGTTTCCTGACTACTGCAGTGTGAACCAACAAGATGAAGGAAAGAAGAATCAGAAAGGTCAGGACCCACCACTGAGGAGTTTACGGGGCTAGGGGAGCAATGCCCCTCCCAAAGGGTGCTCGGGGCTCTGGAGACAGCAAAGGGGGGCCCGGGCCAGCCAGTTCAGGCTTAAAGCCCTTTAGATTCCTTACAGCCCACCAGGCACCAGGGAGCTGGCAAGAAAGCCAGGAACACTGGAGTAAGAAAGATCTGAGTTTCAGTCAGGCTCAAAACCTACAAGCTGGGCGATCCCGAGCAAGCGACTTGGCCTCTCTGAGCCTCAGTTCCTCACCTATGGCAATGGATAACAGATTGGAGGGGAGGAGGATCACAAGAAAATACAGGTGGAGTCCTTGCTTTAGAGACTCAGAGATGACCCACCACGTGCCACATTGGACTGTGATTCACAGACCAAGGCTCCTATGCCATCAGCTACTTGGGGCCTCTCTGTGGAGAAGGCTTCCAGTTCTTCTAGGCTCCCCTAGCAGGTGGCTGAGCCTCTCAGAGTGCCCTCTGCCCACCAGCCCAGGTGGGGCCTACCAGACTCACTGGCATCAAAGACGGTCTTCAGCGCCTGGATGTCAGTGGCCACCCCTGATATCCGGTAGATGCCGACCTCCTCGATGCCCCTCTTCTCCACCTCCTCCACACACTGCCGCACGATGTAGGGCACCTTGGAGCGCTCCCGCCTGGTGGGGAGGGGAGGGGAGGGGAGGGGGTGGTAGAGGGCCTCCCCGTGATGGCTATGGGTAGCCCCAACTCTGCACACCTTGGCCTTGGAGTGCACTAGCCTCTGGCGTCAGGGGATGGGGCCCAAGAAAGGGCTAAGAGGCTGTGCCACCCACACCCCACCCAGCCAGCCCGAGGCCTGCCTGCTGAGGGACAGCAAGGGACAAAGGCAGGAAGAAGGCTTGGGAGAGAAGCCCAAAGACTCTGAGAAAGAATGTTCCTTAGAGCACAGATCTCAGGTTCAAATGCTTACGGGGGACCAACAGGGAGTCCACTGAGGACTCAGGTCCTCAGGTCCTAGGAAGGGGAGACAGGAGGTGGCGGGCAGAAGGGCACGTCCCCCTTCCCGAGGGGCAGCCACCCCTTGGAGTCCAGCCCGCTGCTGCCAAGCCTCAGTGGTCACAGCCTCTCGTTCATTACAAGAAGCTGACAGCCTGGGAGTCTCACAGACTCTCCCAGTGCTCAAATGCTGGCTTGTTGATCTCTAAAGCACTGGGGAAGATGGAGATAGACCTCTGCGGGCCACTTTGGGCCTCCAAACTGGCCATCCACTGAGCTGGAGGGGGGCTGACGGGGGCTGGCAGGGGCCCCGGGCACTCATGCCAGCACTCAATACGCCGGAGGCGGCACCTACTTAGTCACCACGCTGATCTTCACGCCGAAGACTCCAGTCTGCTTTTTGGACGGGGTCCTCTTTAGGCTCATATCTCGACTGGTGAACTTCATGGAGAATTCCACTTTGATCTGGTTGGGGGTACGGCAGGCACAAGTCCCCTGGGGCATGAGTGCCTCCAGAATGCAGGGGTCCCCTCCCCGCGGGGCCACATCCACCACCCAGGGCTCCCCGAAACACCTGCAGGGTGGGAGTGGGCAGGGTGCCGGCAGTGTAGGGGGTAATGGGCCGGGCTGAGGGGACAGGGGTAAGACAGCACCCTGGGGACAGCAGCCAGAGGCCCACCCATTGTGCAGACATTTCCTGTGTCTCTGGGCTCACCCCGTTCATCTCAATCACATCCGTGTGCCAGTTCTTGGTTTCTACAGTTTGTGGATCCAACTGCAGAGAAAGGAAGAAAGAGAACATGAGTGAGAGGGATGCAGATGGCAGCTCGGGGGCGAGCCAGAGCTCTCTGCTGGCCAGCAGCTGCTCATACGCGGGCTACATGGTCAGGAAGGCAGAACTGGGGCCTGAGGCTTCTCTTGAAATCAACCCTTCAGGGAGGCTCCAGCCCCTGGCCCTCCTGTCTGTCCTGGCTAGTAAAGGACTCCCCTACTCCGTGAAGGAGTCAGGACATACTGGTAGGCACTGTGGCCCATCACATCTCATTCGTTAGTCACTACCACCCTCTGAGATGGGTATTAACACCCCACTTCACAGATCAGAAACCGAGGCTTACAAAAAATAGGCAGCTTATTCAACTACCAGGACTGGGGTGGACAGGAGGGTCTGTAGCCTGTGCACATGGAGGTGCTGAGTGGGAGGCGGGAGAGGTTAGGGGGTCCGTCTCAGGAGTCAGGCTGCCTGGGTCTGAATCCTGGCTCTGCTGCTTCCAGGTGTGTGACCTTGGGAAGTTTCAACCTTGGTTAAGCCATCAGTTCCCTGCAGCAGCCAGTAGCAGAACCTGTCTTGCCAGATTGTTGGGAAGACTGAGTGAGATAACAGTGGGTGGGCAGCTGGCCCCCAAGGAAGAAAACACTCCTGTAGGGGAACCCCCCAGATTGGGCTGGAGCCCCAGGAAGTGGGGGTAACCGGGGAGTCTCAGGGGCACCTAGGTGGCTCAGTCGGTTAAGCGTCCAACTCTTGGTTCTGGCTCGGGTCATGATCTCACAGTTTTGTGAGTTTGAGCCCCGAGTCGGGCTCTGTGTTGGCAAAGCCTGCTTGGGATTCTCTGTCTCCCTCTGTCTCTGCCCCTCCCCCACTCCCCCTGTCTCAGTGTCTCTCTTGGAATAAATGTTAAACTTAAAAAAAAAAAAAAAAAAATTTAAAACAGGGGCGCCCGAGTGGCTGAGTCAGTTAAGCGTCTGACTTTGGCTCAGGTCATATTCTTGTGGTTCCTGAGTTCGAGCCCCGCGTCAGGAGTCAGGCTCTGTGCTGACAGCTCGCAGCCTCTCTCTCTGCCTCTCCCCAACCCATGCTCTGTCTCTGTCTCTCTCTCTCAAAAATAAACATAAAAAAATTAAAACAAACAAACAAAAAAGCAGGGGAGGCTCAGAGATATTCCTCACAGGGGATCGGACAGGACTCCGTTTCTCTCAGTGGCTTTCAAACTGTTTTTCCTTGTGCACCCACACAATCATCTTGAAAAAACTATGCACTCCCTGGCCCATTTTCAACTCAACATCTGAGTATTTCCAAAGCAAGTTTCAATAGTTGCAAAGGATAGAACTTCCAGGATAATGTAAATATTTACATCTTAAAACACAAACTGCTACATGATTCTCTTCAATGTATTCAGTGGAATCCAGTTACCACAGTGATTTGATGCACCGTCATCTATTTAAAAAATACAAGCTCTTCTTTCCCTCGTACAAACCCTGTGCCATTTCTTTTTCTCCCTGGATTTGTTGTTATTCTACTTCTCCTAAAGAATTTTCTCCTAGTTTGTACTTTTCTGTCTTAAAGGCTTTCATTCTTCACTCTATTACATGTTGCTTCAACAAAAATATCTGTACAAATGGCAAGGAAATACTTCCTGGGGCCACAAGGCTCCAAATATTCAAAACATGTCCTAGATTAGTTATTACAATGATTAGCAGCACACAATAAAAAAACTAACCAACACATTACGAATAGTTATTAATAAATATTCAGTAGCAAAGTACTATTTTGACGGGACTGCATCTCTTCATGAGACAGGTAGAACATTTTTCTGTGTGTGTGTGTGTGTGTGTGTGTGTGTGAATGTTATGTTTTGCTAGGGTGGAACTGGGTACAGCCTCAAATACTGCTTCTGTGTGTGCATGTGTGTGTGTAAGTGTCTTGTTTTTTTTGTAAGCTCTACACCCAACATGGGGCTTCAATTCATGACCCTGAGATCAAGAGTCACACGCTCTTCCGACTGAGCCAGCCAGGCGCCCCTGGGTTTGTTTTTAAAGATGTAAAGGATGGAACATCTTGTTCATATAAATAACTAGATGGGGCTGAAAATAGTTTTATTACAGCAACACTATATGATTCTTTATGCTATTCCTCCTCATTTGCCTTAAATTGCATATATACCTATCATCAAAAATTTTGTTTTTATTTTTATTTTTGAGAGAGAAGGTGCAAGCGAGGGAGCGAGGCCACGTGGGGGAGGGGCAAGAAGAGAATCCTAGGCAGGCTCCCCGCTGTCAGTGCAGAGCCCGACGCAGGGGCTCGATCTCAGGAACATCAGATGTTGACCTGAGCTGAAATCAAGAGTCGGATGCTTAACCGACTGAGCCACCCTGGCGCCCCCCAAAATTTATTTTAAATGACGTCTCAGCTGACAATTTCCATCAGTTTTGTGGAAAGCAAAGAAGTGGAAAGCACCCGACTTGTAACTGGGCCTTTAGTGTCTTTTACTTTCTCAACACCTACACCTACATTTCAAGAGGCCCTGTGCTGTTGGCCACCCAGGGGGCCTTGGTGCCCTGGGCTATGCTCTGCAGTGAGTCCTGGGCTCCCCAGCAGAGGAAGGGAGGCGAAGGTGAAAGGCTTTTCTCAGGCAGATTGCTTTGTGGTAATAGCACCTGTGGGAGTTGAGAGTCTGCCGACTGATGCTCTGAAAACTCTCCCTGCCCACACACCCCCTGGAAAAGCTCTCTGCACCCTCAGGAGTGTGTGTGCAGCAGTGTGAACACCACTGTTCTAGCAGGCCCACACCACAGAGGAAAACGATCAGGTCAGCCCGGAGTGGGCTGGGCCCTGGAGCTTCCTATAGCTCCAAGTAACTCCTTCCAGCACCTTCTATCATCCACACCAGCTGCGGGCAGGTGGCAGTGGGCGGGGGGGGCGGTCTGCATGTGGGCCAGCTTTGGTCCAGGCCAAGCCTCTAGCAATTGGTTCCCTGCCCAGAGGAGAGATGGAATTGAGAAGGGGACAGAGGAAGAGCAGTGTGGATAGGACCGAGCAACCCCCATGCTCCCCAACTCTGCCCCAGCACCTCCTCAAACACACAAGGGAAGCCTGGCTGTTGTCCAGGCTCGTTACTTCAGAAGATTTGGAACCAAGCATCCTACTGGGTCCCAAAGGAAGCCCCAGAACCTCCCTCTCCCTAAACCTTTTTTATCTCAAACCCTCACCAGGCCTGTAGCACAGGCTAACCCTTATCGTTCCCTCCTGCCATCCAGAATGCTGGCTCTTGGACATAGGGCCTGGGTCTGTCCCCAGCCCTATCCTCTAGCAGTGGCCACCTGGAGTAGAGAGCTCAACGGTGCTTTGTCAACTGCGGCTACCACCCTTGGGTCACACAATCTGGACGGACCAGGACCTTTTAACTCTGGTTTTTCCAGCCATCAGAATACGCCTCAGGCCGACTCCATGGTCCTGGCACCTAATGCCCCTCCTGTGCTCTAACCACCCATGATCTGGCACCTCCTGGCAGCTGCCATGGACTAGGGAGCCAGTGGTCCCTCCCTGGGTCCTGGAGTGGCATCTGGACACAGCCAAGTGGGGATACACAGGGATTGAGAGTCAGGCCTATCTGGGTCCAAATGACTGCTCTTCTTCCACTCACCTGTGTGAATCTGGGCAAGTCACTTAAACCTCCTTGAACGTCAACTTCCTCATGGGGCATCCATAGCACCTCAGAGGACTGTTACGGAAAATACTAACAGAACTAATGCATTCTGAGCATTTTCTAGGAGTCTGTCATGATGGATGACAAACCCTTCACACACAGCATCTCAGTTAATCATCATAACAAGCCTGTGGGGTTTAAGCCTTTTTTAGCCGCCCCCATTTTACAGATGAGGACACTGAGGCTTAAAGGGAGTAAGGAACTTGCCCAGCGCCGCACACTTAGGAACTGAGAGCTGAGGCACAAAATCAAGTCTCCCCGACTTACCTACTCTGCTAACCCTGCAAAATAAGGTGCAAAGCACCTAGCTGGTGTCTGTGCCTCACGGCAACAAGACATGTGCTATTTCCATGATTTGCTTACAAAGGAGACATTAGGCCTCCCGGTGCCTGGTCTGACACCACAGGCAGGCCTGGGTGCTGGAGGGCTGCCTCCAGTACAATTCAGCCATTCTCTCCCTCCCCATCGTTTCCGTTCTAACTGCTAAGCAGCAACCTTACATTTTCCTGGGAGCATGTGAGACACAGGAAAGGCAACTCCTGATGTTAAGGCCAAGTTCTAGCCCTGCTTCTTCCAGAAAGCCTTCCTTGGATACCCCCAGGCCTTCAGTTCCCTTCTGCATTCCTGCTGGCACTGAGACCCTGTCCCTCTGCAGCCTGCTGGCACCATTTACTGTCATTTCACACACTCCAGCCTGTCTGAGGCCAAGTCTGAGGAAGGTGGCACTTCTGTGTTTTCCTGTGAGTCCCCACCACTGCCATATTCTGGATCCCCTTTGCAGGTGTGGCCCTGGTATGCTCGAGGGAGGCCCGCCTAGCCCCTTGGTGTCTTGACAATGAAGTTCTGTCTCCCAGCAGGCCACCAGCCTCCAGAAACCAAGTCTATTTTCAGGACATCACTTAAATACAGAGAAGGGAGGGTGAGGAGTGGAGACGAACGTGGCACATTTTCCAGAGAAATGATGCTGCCTGAACTACTGTGGCTATTTATAACCCCTGGGAAATGTGGACTCTGCTATTTCCTGATTAGATTAGTGCCGGGGGCGGAAGAGCCAGCCCCCAGGATGTGAGCGGACAGGAACACCTGACCACTTACCCGCCAGTCCCAGCAGATAGATGCCCCCCCCCCCCCCACTGGCCCTGGGGAGCGGGTACCTAGGGGCTGCCAGATCACCTGAGGGGGGGGGGGGTGGAGACAGATGGGGCTGTGAAGAGCCAGGCTGGGGGAGACCCCCAGAGGACTCCTCCTTCACCCCACAGGTAATACACATGCCGCTGGGGCTCCCCCACGGTGG